TAAAATATTCTTTAAAAAACCACTAAGACTGGTATTTGTTATTATAGTTAATTAGTTCATTTCTTTATGTTATTTTAGCCACTATTGAAATCAATTGTAGAGGATCCAAAGCCACGGGTTGCAGACCCCTGAGCTAAGATGTTGATTTTAACTGAAGTTCAAATAAACCAGCTAGTCCTACTTCACTATTCAATCTGATAAAAATAAACCTCCTCCACAGCATAATGCTACCACCACTGTGCTTGACTCATGGTCATTTGTATTGGGTTTGTTGATCTAACTTTGACTCATCAAAACTGTCAATGTGAAACATGGTGATATCATAAAGACAGGAGGAGCTTTTATTTATTTAACTTAGAATTATTTGTATCAATGCAGCTTTAACAAATACTTGCAAATGTAAAGCTTAATCAAAGGTTAATTATTGTTTTATTAGTGCTTTGAATACATACACTGCTGTTCTAAACACTGCAGGTTTTCAGAAACATCTTGCATGAGTATCACATATCTGGCAGAAATTCAAGAGCTTTCACCGCCTCAGAGACCCGAGGTCACGGTGGGGGTGGGCTGGATGCCTCACCCCACTGCTAATTGAACCGGGCTCACCCATTCGAAGGTGGGTCACACTGCGGTTTCCCAGGATCATGATGAATGTTGACTCGTCTGTCCCCCACTTCTCCTCTCCTGCAGCATACAGGTCCTACAGGGAGGTGAGAGAACAAGGATAACATGGAAGATTTTTACTTTAAAACCAAGCAAATCTAAGGACATTATCAAAACAGGGTCAGACCAGCATTTTCTCTAATGAAGCAATTTTTCTTCATCTCCAAACTACTGAACTAAAAAACACCAGAAAACTTTAGAATATTTCAGAATGAATTGCTCAGGATGTTAATTAGCTTTCCTTTGTACATGTTACGCATTAATTTCTGATACTAGTCCAGTAACATCTATATTTCCATTCAAGGTTATTTAAAATGTAAACATGTGAAATAAAATGATCAAAAATAACTAATAGATAGTAATTACACAGTGTAGAAGCATAGGACCCATGTTTTCCCCTCTCCCTTCATACCATTTCCTGTCAAGGCCACTTTCAAAATAAAAGTCGCTAATGCTCCAAAAACATCAAGAATTTGATATTTATCCCATAAACGTTTTAAGACAATATATATATAAATAAATATATATATATATATATATATATATATATATATCTCACTCATTAAATTCCTGAACCAATTACTCTATAATATATAAAAAAAAGACTTTTTTGAGTAGTTTAACTGTATCCGTGAAAAGTTGTCTGACATATAGCGGTCCGTGGTGCAAAAAAGGTTGGGGACGGCTGTTCTAGAAGAAATTTCTCCTCTCATCCAATAGGTTTCTTCAGTTTGAACTAACGGTGGGGAGCACTGAGATTTATGTCTTACAAAGAATTAGGGAAGGACAAAAGGTGGCTGTTATGCCGCCAACTGGATTGGCCAAGGAGGTCACATGGGGGGTGTTAATGGTTGGGGGTTGGGGTTTTTTTAAAAAACTTCACCTCCATTTGCCTAGGCTGAACCTTTTCACATTCGTTAAGTATGAGTGCAAGCCATGAGAACAGCAAAAGTGCTGCAGTTCTGTGTTTTGGCAACAGGTGGCAGTATAATTAGAACATTCTGTCTTTTCATAATTTTTAGGTTGACTAGATTGTAATTTAAATTGAGCGGAAAAAAACTTAAGATCTTCAAACTTAAGCGTCCCTGGAGCTGAAATGCCAACTGCAGCGAGTCACTTACAGTAGCAGCCATTCAAAATGGCCCCTCCCAGTCAGACGCCATCCGAATGGCAGCCCACTTCCCTCCAACTCCCAGCAAAATCCCCCCCCAACTTCCAGCCACTGGAGTGATCACCTCTTGCATATTGTTTGTTTTTACTCTGACTCCACCCTTTCACTGAATTACAGGGTCTGACACTTCTCTTTAGATCTTAATGTCCACAAATCATGACAGAAAGAATATGTTAGTACAAATATTGATGTTTAAAAAGGAATTGTTAGGGACCAGCCAAGGACCCATTAAGTAAAGTGGGGGAATTTTGAATGGCTACAACTGTACTGTACATAGGCACTGGAGCTAAAACTTGCTTATGTTTGAGAAAGTGAGAGGTTACAGTCACATGAAACACTTTAAGAATCGACATATCTAAAATACATAGCAAACTAAACCTGTAATTTCCAACCTCCAAAGCTATAGCTTCACAGAAAACTGCAGAGCTTTATTTAGATGTTTATCCCTTCTGCAAATGCAAATCTTAGTCTATTTTAGTTCATTTCAGTAACAGAAAGGCATCCTTTGTTTATTTATTCTCACTTGAGCATCTTGCTGCACCAGGTCTGCATCCACCACCCCCGATTCGTCTCTGGTCCCCTGAAAACATCACAAAAAATGTATTCAGTCTCCATCATTTGGGATGTAAAGCACAAACGGCAGGTCTGTGACCGTCTCTTCAATGTGCTCACCTGAATCAGAACAACCAGCATCTTCTTGAAGTGACCTGATGTGTCCGCGATAACATCTTCCTCCATGTCCCCGCCATAGGCTGGAGGGGAACAAAAAGCTGTCAGATGGAAATAAACCAGGCTAAAAAAATCACACGTTTTACATCTTACCATCCTTGTAGGCTGCAACCATGTCCTGTATCTGTTTGTTGTTTCTAGATGCCAAGATTTCTATCAAGCATCTTTCGTTTGTTCCCGTTCCCTAAAACAGAGCGTGAAAAAGTCACCGTCAGCGGAAGCAACATCAAATAATTACCACAGGGAGAGTAAAGGACGTACCTTGATCGCATCATGGATCTCCTTAGCATCGTGGTAGGGAGGGGTTCTCATCAGACTTACAATGAGACGCTCAAATTTTCCTGTGAGCTCATATTTCAGATCTTCAATCAGATCCTGAAGAGATGATGATGATGCTTTCTTAAAAAAAAGCTTTGGACATAAAACCCCCCAAAAAAGTCTAAATGTTTTGTGTGGCTACCTGCCCAAAGCTGCATTTGTACGCTGCAATGATCTCTTGCCTCTGTGCATTACTCCGAGAGGTGATCAGGTCCAAGATGGTTTCTTTGTCACTACCTGTGAAAGACAAAGCAACTATATTATTAATTTATATAAATTAACTTATTCTATAGGAAAACCCATCTCTCCCTGATGGTTAATAATAGAAGAATGAGTCACTCACCAATGCCTTTCATAGCATTGTAAAGAGTCTCAGCATCAACAGTGGGATCAAAGTCAGGAGCATCTGAAATTGTTCCTCTGAACACCTACAAGAAATATAAAGTGAACTTAAAAAACATTTTTTATATAGTTAGCTCTATAGTTATGCTGCTATAGGCTTAGACTGCTGGAGGACATGGGGGGCTCCTTTTTCATCATTCTGCTTCATTTTTATCTCTATTCTCCCACAGTGCAGAATCTGTTAGTTCAATTTTTAATGTTATGCTCTCTGCTTTTTCTTCTGGTCTGTTCCTGTTTGGCTGTGACTCCATCCTGAGTGAAATATCAGCTGTACTGCTGCCATCAACATCTTTGTTAATAGATGTTGGAGATGTTTCTGCAACGGACTGGCAACCTTTCCAGGGTGGACCCCGCCTTTTGCACGTAGACAACTGGAGATTGGCATTAGCACCCCTCGCGACCCCACTTGGGAATAAGCATGTCTGAAAATGGATGGATTGTACCGGCCTGTTTTTCAGTGTAGTCCTGTTTCTCTAACTGTGATTGGCTGGATGTGCTCTCTTCATCCTCTGACATGGCTCTGTGTTTCCTTTTACAGTTGCTTTTTGTATCTCTGCTCCTTTCTGCATGTCAAGTTCTGTCTCCTTGAACCCCAGTCACCTCGGCAGATGGCCGCTCACACTGAGTCTGGTGCTGGAGTTTTCTTCCTGTTAAAAGGGAGTTTTTCCTCTCCACTGTCGCTACAAGCATGCTAAGTGTGAGGGGTTGCCTTTGAGTCGATGCAATCAACTGGTTTTCCTTAGATAGAAAACTTTGAATAAATTTGACTGTATGATCTGGTTGAATTGTAAAGTGCCTTGAGATGAGGTATTGTGAATTGTAGCTTTGTAAATAAACTGAATTAAATTGATACATTATAAAAAGCATCTTGTTAAGGATCGGGCAAACTTTTGGAATAATGTCTATCAGTTAGAAAAATAAGCCATATTCCAAATGAGACCTGATGAAAGCTCATAAATAGATGGGTATCGTGATTAGTCTTAAAGGAAAACCTTGATGCATTGTGTTTGGAATGTTCTTGAAAGGTAATGATTAATTCTAAATTAAAACTAATATGATAAACTATTAGAAATAAATAAAATGGAAAGTTTTAAATTAGCTTTAAAAATGTCTCCCATTGAGATATGTCCATCCTCCCTTTCACTCTGACCAGCTTCCTTCTTCCTGCTGAAAAAAAAGCATCCCACAGTATGATCCTCCCACCACCATGTTTGATTATAGGGACGGTGGGCATTTAGACCCACCTGGCCTGAACACGTATTACATATTTGCTTTCCCTTGTATGCCTTGTGGCAAACTGGGCAAACTGGGTATTTCTCTGCTTCTTCTTTTTAATTATTCATAAAGGCAACAGCAGTCAGATTTTTGCAGTAAATGACTAACAGTTGATTTCCTCATCTGTGCAGCCTCTCCAGAGTTATCAAGGCTCCATAGGCTGTTTTGCTCATTAATTATGTTGATAATAGTTATGCACTACTTAACTTAAAGTTTATGTTTCTACAGTAAAAACGTTTCTAGGTAAAGGTAATGCTATTGCAAGGCTGTATAGACGCACAGTGACATATAGAAACAACATCCTGTGGAGATGTTTAGCATTTCTGAGTACTTATCAAAATAAAGATAAAGATACATCTGATTTTTCATAACAAAGGTTTATAGTTTCCGTTAAACAGCAGTTGACCGCCTGGACCTCAGTTTCAGAAGAAAGAAACAGTGTTTAGTTTATGCTTCCACCCATGTGTGCATGTGGCAGGGGTCAGGTTGCACACAGACCACCTGTCTTTACAAGGGTTTTGAAACACAATAGCTCTAATACATTGACAGACACACATAAGTATACCTGCGCTCCCTCTTGACCGTACGCCCTTCACTTTCTCTACAAAATGCTGGAACTAAACACACTCTGTTTAGTCATAGCTCTTGCTGCAGCTGCAGTCGCTGAGATTACTGCAGCATTACAGCATGCAGTCAGAATGTGCTCCTCTCTGCTGAAAGCACAGGCTCAGACGCTCTGCTCCGGCCACCATCACTCTGCACGACAGCTGAACTACTTCAACCACGTAGCAACATGGTCCTAAATATGTGAGCCTAGCGACAAACGTTTTTCGAAACAAGTTGCATATTCATAAATACTGTCTACACACTTCTTCCTCTAATACAGTAGAATTTTGTTGATGGAAATAATCTTTGGTCTGGAGGTTTTAAAGTGTGTACCTAATAAGGTAAGCCTGGTCCATTGCAGATCATGCTTTGAATTCTTTCTCTCAGGACTCCTAAATACTTCCTTAGTATACTAGCTTTGGAATCCTCTTGTCTGCTGTGTCTGTCAGACGGGGCAGGTAGTGGTGACACCCTACACTGCTGGCTTTATGATGCGATGGGTTCACTTGGTGCCAGGTGACAGCAGCTGAGTCAGGCTCTGTCCTCATCCTCATTCAACAGGACACAAAACCGAACATGTCAGCAAGACACAATATCTGAGGAATCTATGACCTGCGTTTTGTCTTATAAAAAACATTTTTTCATCACCCTGTCTACTTTTAAGACTAGGCTAAAGGCTCCTTTTCGACAAAAGCTTATAGTTAGAGCGGCTCAGGTTATCAAAGCTATTTCTCTATTTATGCTGTTATAGGCTTAGACTGCTGGAGGACAAAAGGAACGCTTTTTATCATTCTGCTTTACTCTATCCTCCCATTCTGCACGATTTGTTAGTTCAACCCCTAGATTTTTGTTCTCCCTGAATTTTCTCATCATAGCAGCTTCATCTGGTCTGTTCCTGTTTTGCTCTGATAGCATCCTGGAGCGCAATATCAGCTGGATTACAGGTGATAGAGTTGGGCCTGTTTTTCAGTGCTTAATCCTGTTTCTCTCCTAGATATAGCTAAGGGCTCAGCTTTCACTCTGACTAACTGTATGTGCTCTCTTTTATCCCTTTGGATATGAAAAGGGGCTTAGAGCTCATCTGGTTAACTGTTTCTCTCCTAGACGGAGCCATCTTTGGAGCTAGTTTAACCCTAACATAGAAGGTATTTATATCATTAGTGTTTCTATGTTATTTTTATATGTCTGCGTCTGTCTCCTTGAACCCTTGGTCATCCTCAGCAGAAGGCCGCTCACACTGAGCCTGGTTCAGTTGGAGGCTTCTTCCTGCTGAAAAGGAGTTTTTCCTCTCCACTGTCACTACATGCATGCTCAGTGTGAGGGATTGTTGAAGAGTCAACAAAAAAGTGAGAGGGAATGTCTAATGTCTACATCCTCATCCTAGAGGAGTGAATCCTGCAAAGTCAATGGTTTGATGCAATCAACTGTATTTAGAAAACTTTCTACCAATGTGTCTGTATGGTCTGATTTACATTTTCTCTGTAAAGTGCCTTGAGATGAAATGTGTTTGGAATTGGTGCTGTATAGGTAGAGCTAATTGAATTTAATTGAATTCAAATAAAGATAATTATTGGGATTTTATGTGATAGACCATCACAAAGTAATTAGTTTGTAAGGTGGTGGAAAAACGGTGCATAGTTTAGAAATTCATTTTACAAATAAAAACTGAAATAGTGTGAATTGTTTTTATTTAATCTTATTTATAGCCAAATACTCATAGAAGTATTCTATGGTGAAGCAGCCAACATCTGGAGCAGCTGCAGAGATTTACAGCTTAAGGAGGGAATCTGTCTACAGTACAGCTGTTTTCAATCATGCAATACAGATTTCTACCTTTTATTGAAGCATGGCATAAAGAAAAAACATAAGAGGAAATGTATGCAGTTTGCATCAAGCCCTTTAACAACCCACCATAGTGTGTAAACACTGTAGTGGAAAACTAACAATGAATATGAACCTTGCAGTGACGGCAAAACTGGTCAGAGCAAAGGAAAGGCAGGTCAATATAGAGCAATACTGGAAAAAAAAGAAATAATTTGACATTGTGGCAGAGATTTCTTTTCCTACAGAACCATTGTAAAAAAATAAAAAGAAACAACAACAAAAAAATGGCGGAATACTTCAAATAAATCAAAGTATGTTCAACTATTGAAAAGGTCAAAATCCAGACTTATATCTAACTACAAATCTGTGGCAAAACTTGAAAACTATTGTCTCTATGCTCCTACTCTAATCCACAATGACACAGCTGAAGCCATCTTTGCTCCGAAACAGGCAGAAAAAAAAAAACACTGCATTTTTCATTGCATCTATAAGAATAGATGTGTTAACTTACCATGATTGGATTTGGTCTTGTGTTTCACTCTTGCTGAAAAATCTACTGTTTTAGACCTGAAGAGAGACAGAAAGAGAAATGCTGACTTAGAAGCAGCTATGCAAACTAGTGCTGCGGCGATTCCTTTTTTTGTCCCCGATACCGATATCCGATACCTGGCTGTGCAGTATCGGCTGATACCGATACCATCTGTTTGAAATTAATGTGTGTGTGTGTATGTATGAAGAACTGCAGACTACTTGTATGTAAAATAATTGCCATCATGGCTTTGTTAAGCTGCTGCCTACCTTTGTGAAGCAGGAAAAAGACTAATACAAAGTGAATCCAGTCAACATATTCTCATTATAAGTTCGTATGAAATCGTACGAAAAGTTATGCACAGTATTTCGTACGTTTTTGACGTTTTTCCTCAAAAAAACAGATCAGCGTGCATGCGCAGCCAGCGCGCATGCGCAGCCAGCAGCAGCTCCGCGGACGGATGTAAAACTGGGAAAAACAGTTCAATAATTACTTCTTCATGTCTCTAACTAGGTTGCTTGCTGTTTTGTATCTTAGGGTTAGGGTTAGGGTCAGGGTTAATTGTATATTAAATTCTATGTTATTTAATGGTGCGTAAGATGCGCATGCGCAAGGATACCTTGTCTCGAGGCAAGACGTAAAAATACGACGAAATACGATGAAATACGACGAAAAAAACGTCAAAAACTTACGAAATTATTGTGCATAACTTTTCGTACGATTTCATACGAACTGATAATGAGAATACACTGATCCATTAGAACTTTTTATTGCTTACCTGGAATGGGTGACAATAGTTGAATAAACTTTTCCTTCTCAAAATGGTATCGATG